GCCCTCCTGCCTCTCTCTCTTCCCCTCCCTCGCCCTCCCGTCCTCCCTTCTCCTCTCCTCCTGTCCTGCCTCTCCCCCATCTCCCCCTCCATTCCTTCTCCCGTTCTCCCTTCTCCTCTCCTCCCCTCTCCCCCCATTCCCTCTCCCGTCCTCCCTTCTCTCCATTCCCTCTCCCTTCTCACTCCTTGTCCTGCCTTCCCCTCTGCCCCCTCTCCCCTTTCCCTTCCCCTCTCCCCCTCCCTGCCCTCCTGTCCTGCCTTTCCTCTCCCCCCTCTCCCCTTGTCCTGCCTTTCCCTCTCCCCCCTCTCCCCTTGTCTCCTTTCCTCCTCCCCTCCCCCCCTCCCGTCCTCCCCTCCTCGCCTACAGCACATTACGTTTTTGAGGGTGTCGCGCACTGCCCAGAGATACAATATCCAATGAGCTGATCAGCCTGGTGTAGGTACCTATCCTCGATCGGGCGCCGGGCTGCGATATCCGCCCTTACTGCGCGCGGGGATAAGGACCGGATCCCCTTGTCTCCGCAGCCGGGGGTTTGTGACGCTAAGGGAGAGTGAGAAACGAGAACACACAGTCAAACGCCAGCAATATATTATTCAAGATGTGTCATTATAGTCAGACCAATTTAGAGTTTTGAGTCCCGGTTTCTAGAGGGTTGGAGGGGTGGGGGGTTAGGGGATGGGGGGGGAAGAGATATAGAGAGATGAGAGGGGGGGAGGGTAAAGAGGAAAGTGAATGGGGGAGGGAAGGTAGGGGGAGAGAAAGGAAATGGGGGGGTTACCAAAGCCTTTGTTATCGGGATACATCAGGCTTTTGGCCGTTTTAATGGCAAAGATATGGAAAATGGGGAAAAAATGTCCCCAGCCAGTTAATGGGCTGAGACAGCTAATGTCGGAAAACTGATGGTTATTGTATTTTATATATATATTTTTCCCTCTCCCCCCTTTCCCCTATCAACATAAAGGTCTTTTACTGATTACATTTTGCTCCTCCCACAAAAAGAGAGAGAAAAAAACGTTATTTCAGAATTCCATATCGATTCGGTCCTGTGAGAAAGTCGAGGATCTTTATTTTATAAGTTTTCGATACTGGAAACCACAAGTCAAATCCAAATATTCGGGCAGATGAGAATGACTCATCAATATTCATATGACATATACAATTTGGGACTTTGATGATAACTAGTCTCTACAGGCACTATCATCAGCTTTTTTTTTATTTTCCTTCACTTTCTCCCAGTCTTTTAAAACACAACATTCACAAGACTAGAAAATTCCCTTTCATTTACCTCTTTCGTAAGATGCACTTTTTTCTTCTTCTTCTACATCCCCCTTGGACGTTGTTCTTCTTGACCTTACGTGACCTGAGCAATGTCTTCTCGACTCTTGTGTTATATGAGGCAGATGACGCCCCCCCGGCCGAAGTGGTCAGAGATCTTGTTGAGTTTGTCTTTATTTCTCTCTCTCTCTCTGAATTCCGGGTTGAGTTTGATTCGTGTGAAGGTAGGAGGGGGGGGAGGGGATGGAGGGTGGGGGTGAAGGGAAGGGGGGGGGCTTTGGAGGAGGGGTATGATGGGGGAACGTAGGTGCATGCATACTTAGAATGAGCCTAGGTTACTCTGTCTCTCTCTCTCTCTCTGTATCCTCTCTCTCTCTCTCTCTCTCTCTCTCTCTCTCTCTCTCTCTCTCTCTCTCTCTCTCTCTCTCTCTCTCTCTCTCTCTCTCTCTCTCTCTCTCACACACACACACACACACACACACACACACACACACACACACACACACACACACACACACACACACAAGCAGTACTAGTGTGACTCATCACTCATTCTCTCATACTCATTCATTCATTCATTCATTCCTTCCTTTGGTGTCACAGGTTTTGTTCGAACAAACGTACATCCTCTCGGTTTTTCTTTCATTCCCTCATTCGTATCACTTTTCCCCCTTTCTCATTTATAGTACTTCCTCGTGTTTTTTTTTCATTCCTCTTTCGTAGAGATAGTATGGCTCATTTTTCCCCTTTACTCGTTTTTCTTACATGATCTCAAACACTCTCATTCTTGCTCACTTTTTTAAATTAGCTTCCATTCCCTCGTATGTCTTCCGAGAATTAATTATGATTGCACGTGCATTTGTCTTTCATATCTTTCCATTTCCTCTCATTCTCTCACTCATTCTTCTGTGCTATCTTTAGGTAACGGTAGACAACTGATTCTCTCTCAATCATTTTTTTCTTATCTCATTTTCTGCTAATCTCTCTCCTTTCTTCTTTTCCTTTCATTCCTACTTCATGCCCGCCTACGGTGCATTTTTTTAAATTTCATTCTTCTCATTCTCTCATTTCCTCACTTTCTCTCATTCTCTCCCTTCCCTTATACTTATGGTTAGTATGATTCTACAGACACAAACTCTCTCTTACGTTTTTTTCTTTCATTCTCTCTCATATTGTCTTTTTCTCTCTCATTCTTTCTTTCAGACCCTCTTGCAAGCGCCTTAGAATTAGCATTATTCTGTAGTCACTGTCTCTCTTACTCTTTCCTTTTCATTTGTTCTTACTCTTATTTTCTTGCATTTCCTCTTATTCTTCCTCTTTCCTTCTTCCGCGCTCTCCTTGAGGCGTCTCAAGACTCACACCCATTTTCTTGGATATTATCCTCTCATATATTGTCATTTTCTCTCGTTCTCTCCTTTTCTCATTTCTTCTTTCTCCTTCATTCTTTTTTCAGGCGCGTCAGGACACTCACTCGTGATTTGATGTTATATTTTTTCCCATTCTCTCTCATTTCCTCATTATTCCTTCCTCTTTTAGGCGCTTCAGGACTCTTCCTCATTCTCTTTCATATTATTTTTTCCTATTCTCTCTAATTTCCTCTCTTTCTACTTCTCCTCTTTCCTCATTTTTTTTTCTCTTTTTCCCTCACTCCTTCTTCCACGCCCTCCTTCATCCACCCCAGGACTCTCCCTCATTTTCTCTCACATTATTTTTTTCTCCCATTTCACATTATCTTTTTCCCTCTCCCCTTTCCTCATTTCCCCTCTTTCTCCCTCACTCCTCCTTCCACGCCTTCCTTCAGGCGCCTCAGGACTCTCCCTCATTTTCTTTCACATTATCTTTCCTCCTCCCTCCCCTCTTTTTCCACCCTTTTCTCCCTCACTCCTTCCACGCCCTCCTTCTTCCACCTCATTTTCTCTCACATTATTATTTTTTTCTCCCATTTCACATTATCTTTTCCCCCTCCCCTTTCCTCATTTCCCCTCTTTCTCCCTCACTCCTTCTTCCACGCCCTCCTTCATCCACCCCAAGACCCTCCCTCATTTTCTCCCACATTATCTTTCTCACTCTCCTCTTTGCTCATTCTCCCTCACTCCTTCTTCCACCCCAGGACTCTCCCTCATTTTCCCTCACATTTTTTTCTCTCATTTCACATTATCTTTTTCCCTCTCCCCTTTCCTCATTTCCCCTCTTTCTCCCTCACTCCTTCTCCTTCCACGCCTTCCCTCAGGCACCTCAGGACCCCCCCCTCATTTTCTTTCACATTATCTTTCTCCCTCTCCCCTTTCTTCATTTTTCTCTTTCTCCCTCACTCCTTCCACGCCCTCCTTCATCCACCTCATTTTCTCTCGCATTATTTTTTTTCTTCTATTTCACATTATCTTTCTCCCCTCTCCCCTTCCCTCATTTCCCCTCTTTCTCCCTCACTCCTCCTTCCACGCCTTCCCTCAGGCACCTCAGGACTCCCCCTCATTTTCTTTCACATTATCTTTCTCCCTCTCCCCTTTCTTCATTTTTCTCTTTCTCCCTCACTCCCTCCTTCATCCACCTCATTTTCTCTCACATTATTTTTTTTTCTCCCATTTCACATTATCTTTTTCCCTCTCCCCTTTCCTCATTTCCCCTCTTTCTCCCTCACTCCTTCTCCTTCCACGCCTTCCCTCAGGCACCTCAGGACTCCCCCTCATTTTCTTTCACATTATCTTTCTCCCCTCTCCCCTTTCCTCATTTCCCCTCTTTCTCCCTCACTCCTTCTCCTTCCACGCCCTCCTTCATCCACCTCATTTTCTCTCACATTATTTTTTTTCTCCCATTTCACATTATCTTTTTCCCTCTCCCCTTTCCTCATTTCCCCTCTTTCTCCCTCACTCCTTCTTCCACGCCCTCCTTCATCCACCCCAAGACCCTCCCTCATTTTCTCCCACATTATCTTTCTCACTCTCCTCTTTGCTCATTCTCCTTCACTCTTTCTTCCACCCCAGGACTCTCCCTCATTTTCCCTCACAATATTTTTTTCTCCCATTTCACATTATCTTTCTCCCCTCTCCCCTTTCCTCATTTCCCCTCTTTCTCCCTCACTCCTCCTTCCACGCCTTCCCTCATGCACCTCAGGACCCCCCCTCATTTTCTTTCACATTATCTTTCTCCCCTCTCCCCTTTCCTCATTTCCTCTCTTTCTCCCTCACTCCTTCCACGCCCTCCTTCATCCACCTAATTTTCTCTCACATTATTTTTTTTCTCCCATTTCACATTATCTTTTCCCCTCTCCCCTTTCCTCATTTCCCCTCTTTCTCCCTCACTCCTTCTCCTTCCACGCCCTCCTCCAGGCGTCGCAGAACCAGTATGATCCAATATCTCCAAGGGCCTGACCAAGTTAATAATCCTATGACATATTTGAAATGTAAGCAAATGAAATAGAGTGTTGCCATAAGGTGATCGTGCCATATCAGCTCCCCGGCCGGCCAATGGTGACTGTCGTGAAATGGTCCCACTTTATCAGGGTTATGTTGTAATGTCGTGTCATTTGTCATTCTTAGGACCTCCGTCTCATATTCATTGGCATCAGCATCTCGAAATTGTTGGGTAATATATATATATTTTTTTTTCACTTCTGTTCTGTTTTTTTTTTCGGGGTTTTCCTTTTTTGTCTTACTCTTTTTTTCTATTTTTTTGTGTTTGTTTATAGTCTTCTTCAAGAGAAGAAGCGGATGAAACGGGTTTTGTTT